ACTTGTGGCACCTTAGAGACTAACCAATTTATTTGAGCATGCTCGTGTGCACAGCACTATGTCAGTGGGAGAGCTTAGCCCGCTGTCATAGCTTCTGCTCACAGAGGCGGTTTTATTATGCCGCTGGAAGAGTTCTCTTCCGTTGGCAAGAGAGTCTTCTCCAGACATGGTACAGCTGTGCTGCTGCAGCACCATACGTATAGCGTCTGGACATGGCCTTAGAGACACAAGGTGGGTGAGTTAATATCTTTTATGGGACCAACTTCTGATGGGAAGTTTCGCAGACCTGAACAAGAGCTCTGTGTAAGATTGAAAGCTTGTCTCTCTCAGCATCAGAAGTTGATCCGATGAAAGATATTACTTCACACTCCCTATGTGTATATGTCTCTCTGTGTCTCTCCTGGGACGAACATGGCTACAACACTCAATGTATATAATTTACATATTCTGACTAGTTTCATTGGCATCAGTTGGACTGTTCATAACGTGTAAAGTTAAGCATAAGTGAAAGTCTTTGCAGGATTGGGTCTGTTTCTGTAAGTGAAATACCATGGAGTTGTGAGAGATAAAAGGGAACACAACTGAAGCTGCCAGACACAGACTCAAATCAGGCTTTTAAAAACCTGCAGGAGGTTGTGTGCTGGAGTTAAAGAGCTTGATATGGAAGTAATTAAATAGCAGACAATAAGCAAGATAGAGGAAATAATGGAATAATTGCTCTTGAGAACACTAAATGACTGATAGAACTCCCCCCCCTTTAAGTTTTTGCAAGCATGATGAAAGATCTACACACTTTCTTCTTCTAATGGTTTCCTCAGTAATCAAGGAACGGAAGTTGTTAAGTGTAGTACAATCAGTTGGAAGAGATTTTCTCCAGTATTTGGTTCTCATGCTAACTGGCTAACAGAGTAGCCTTCATGTTGTGGGTGGGAACATTGTAGTTGGAGCAGCCATCAGCAGCTGATTGTGACTAAATAACCACAGAGAACAACTGTCCTAGCAGGAATTTCAGCACATTTCAATCTAGTCCATAAATCAGATACCTATGGACTTCACAGTAGCTATGCTCTCTGGAACAAATCTTGCAGCTGCTAACAGGGCTGCACAAGGTCCAACATGGGTGTTGATTATGAGGAAGAGTGGGCAGCAGAAAGTCATTGCAGTTCCCTGCATACAGTCAAACTGAGCTCCACAGGGATTCTTTACACTAGGATGTGGAACAGAGGAAATACTGATGGCTGGGGAGAGTTGTGGGGAAGTGGAGTAGCCTTTGTAGACTCTTAGGGTATGTCTACACTACGGAATAAGGTCGAATTTATAGAAGTCGGTTTTTTAGAAATCGGTTTTATAAATTCGTGTGTGTGTGTCCCCACAGAAAATGCTCTAAGTGCATTAAGTGCATTAACTTGGCGGAGCGCTTCCACAGTACCGAGGCAAGCGTCGACTTCCGGAGCGTTGCACTGTGGGTAGCTATCCCACAGTTCCCGCAGTCTCCGCTGCCCATTGGAATTCTGGGTTGAGATCCCAATGCCTGATGGGGCTAAAACATTGTCGCGGGTGGTTCTGGGTACATATCGTCAGCCCCCCGTTCCCTCCCTCCCCCCGTGAAAGCAAGGGCAGACAATCATTTCGCGCCTTTTTTCCTGAGTTACCTGTGCAGACGCCATACCATGGCAAGCATGGAGCCCGCTCAGGTAACCGTCACCCTATGTCTCCTGGGTGCTGGCAGACGCGGTACGGCATTGCTACACAGTAGCAGCAACCCCTTGCCTTGTGGCAGCAGACGGTACAGTACGACTGGTAGCCGTCATCGTCATGTCTGAGGTGCTCCTGGTCGCCTCTGTGAGGTCGATCAGGAGCGCCTGGGCAGACATGGGCACAGGGACTAAATTTGGAGTGACTTGACCAGGTCATTCTCTTTAGTCCTGCAGTCAGTCCTATTGAACCGTCTTATGGTGAGCGGGCAGGCGATACGGACTGCTTGCAGTCGTACTGTACCATCTTCTGCCGAGCAGCCATGAGATGTGGATGGCATGCAGTCCTTCTGCACCGTCTGCTGCCAGCCAAAGATGTTAAAGATAGATGGAGTGGATCAAAACAAGAAATAGACCAGATTTGTTTTGTACTCATTTGCTTCCCCCCCTCCCCTGTCTAGGGGACTCATTCTTCTAGATCACACTGCAGTCACTTACAGAGAAGGTGCAGCGAGGTAAATCTAGCCATGTATCAATCAGAGGCCAGGCTAACCTTCTTGCTCCAATAAGGACAATAACTTAGGTGCACCATTTCTTATTGGAACCCTCCGTGAAGTCCTGCCTGAAATACTCCTTGATGTAAAGCCACCCCCTTTGTTGATTTTAGCTCCCTGAAGCCAACCCTGTAAGCGCCCCTCCCAGCGTCAGAGCAATGGCAAACAATCGGGCATCTGAGAGTGCTGTCCAGAGCAGTCACAATGGAGCACTCTGATGGGGCTAAAACATTGTCGCGGGTGGTTCTGGGTACGTGTCGTCAGGCCCCCGTTCCCTCCCTCCCTCCGTGAAAGCAAGGGCAGACAATCATTTTGCGCCTTTTTTCCTGAGTTACCTGTGCAGACGCCATACCACAGCAAGCATGGAGCCCGCTCAGGTAACCGTCACCCTATGTCTCCTGGGTGCTGGCAGACGCGGTACGGCTTTGCTGCACAGTAGCAGCAACCCCTTGCCTTCTGGCAGCAGACGGTGCAATACGATTGGTAGTCGTCCTCATCGTGTCCGAGGTGCTCCTGGCCGCGTCGGCTGGGAGCGCCTGGGCAGACATGGGCGCAGGGACTAAATTTGGAGTGACTTGACCAGGTCATTCTCTTTAGTCCTGCAGTCAGTCCTATTGAACCGTCTTATGGTGAGCGGGCAGGCCATACGGACTGCTAGCAGTCGTACTGTACCATCTTCTGCCAGGCAGGCAAGAGATGAGGATTGCTAGCAGTCGTATTGCACCATCTTCTGCCAGGCAGGCAAGAGATGGGGATGGCTAGCAGTCGTACTGTACCATCTTCTGCCGAGCAGCCATGAGATGTGGATGGCATGCAGTCCTTCTGCACTGTCTGCTGCCAGCCAAAGATGTTAAAGATAGATGGAGTGGGTCAAAACAAGAAATAGACCAGATTTGTTTTGTACTCATTTGCCTCCTCCCCTGTCTAGGGGACTCATTCCTCTAGGTCACACTGCAGTCACTCACAGAGAAGGTGCAGCGAGGTAAATCTAGCCATGTATCAATCAGAGGCCAGGCTAACCTCCTTGTTCCAATAACAACGATAACTTAGGTGCACCATTTCTTATTGGAACCCTCCGTGCAGTCCTGCCTGAAATACTCCTTGATGTACAGGCACCCCCTTTGTTGATTTTAGCTCCCTGAAGCCAACCCTGTAAGCCGTGTCGTCAGTCGCCCCTCCCTCCATCAGAGCAACGGCAGACAATCGTTCCGCGCCTTTTTTCTGTGTGGACGCCATACCAAGGCAAGCATGGAGCCCGCTCAGCTCACTTTGGCAATTAGGAGCACATTAAACACCACACGCATTATTCAGCAGTATATGCAGCACCAGAACATGGCAACGCGATACCGGGCGAGGAGGCGACGTCAGCGCGGTCCCGTGAGTGATCAGGACATGGACACAGATTTCTCTGAAAGCATGGGCCCTGACAATGCATGCATCATGGTGCTAATGGGGCAGGTTCATGCTGTGGAACGCCGATTCTGGGCTCGGGAAACAAGCACAGACTGGTGGGACCACATAGTGTTGCAGGTCTGGGACGATTCCCAGTGGCTACGAAACTTTCGCATGCGTAAGGGCACTTTCACGGAACTTTGTGACTTGCTTTCCCCTGCCCTGAAGCGCATGAATACCAAGATGAGAGCAGCCCTCACAGTTGAGAAGCGAGTGGCGATAGCCCTGTGGAAGCTTGCAACGCCAGACAGCTACCGGTCAGTTGGGAATCAATTTGGAGTGGGCAAATCTACTGTGGGGGCTGCTGTGATGCAAGTAGCCCACGCAATCAAAGATCTGCTGATATCAAGGGTAGTGACCCTGGGAAATGTGCAGGTCATAGTGGATGGCTTTGCTGCAATGGGATTCCCTAACTGTGGTGGGGCTATAGACGAAACCCATATCCCTATCTTGGCACCGGAGCACCAAGCCGCCGAGTACATAAACCGCAAGGGGTACTTTTCGATAGTGCTGCAAGCTCTGGTGGATCACAAGGGACGTTTCACCAACATCAACGTGGGATGGCCGGGAAAGGTGCATGATGCTCGCATCTTCAGGAACTGTGGTCTGTTTCAAAAGCTGCAGGAAGGAACTTTATTCCCAGACCAGAAAATAACTGTTGGGGATGTTGAAATGCCTATATGTATCCTTGGGGACCCAGCCTACCCCTTAATGCCATGGCTCATGAAGCCATACACAGGCAGCCTGGACAGTGGTCAGGAGCTGTTCAACTACAGGCTGAGCAAGTGCAGAATGGTGGTAGAATGTGCATTTGGACGTTTAAAGGCGCGCTGGCGCAGTTTACTGACTCGCTTAGACCTCAGCGAAACCAATATTCCCACTGTTATTACTGCTTGCTGTGTGCTCCACAATATCTGTGAGAGTAAGGGGGAGATGTTTATGGCGGGGTGGGAGGTTGAGGCAAATCGCCTGGCTGCTGGTTACGCGCAGCCAGACACCAGGGCGGTTAGAAGAGCACAGGAGGGCACGGTACGCATCAGAGAAGCTTTGAAAAACAGTTTCATGACTGGCCAGGCTACGGTGTGAAAGTTCTGTTTGTTTCTCCTTGATGAACCCCCCCGCCCCTTGGTTCACTCTACTTCCCTGTAAGCTAACCACCCTCCCCTCCTCCCTTCTATCACCGCTTGCAGAGCCAATAAAGTCATTGTTGCTTCACATTCATGCATTCGTTATTCATTCATCACACAAATAGGGGGATGACTACCAAGGTATCCCAGGAGGGGTGGTGGAGGAGGGAAGGAAAATGCCACACAGCACTTTAAGCAGAGCACTTTAAAAGTTTACAACTTTAAAATTTATTGAATGACAGCCTTCTTTTTTTTGGGCAATCCTCTGTGGTGGAGTGGCTGGTTGGCCGGAGGCCCTCCCACCGCGTTCTTGGGCGTCTGGGTGTGGAGGCTATGGAACTTGGGGAGGAGGGCGGTTGGTTACAGAGGGGCTGCAGTGGCAGTCTGTGCTCCAGCTGCCTTTGCTGCAGCTCAACCATACACTGGAGCATACTGGTTTGGTCCTGCAGCAGCCTCAGCATTGAATCCTGCCTCCTCTCATCACGCTGCCGCCACATTTGAGCTTCAGCCCTGTCTTCAGCCCGCCACTTACTCTCTTCAGCCCTCCACCTCTCCTCCCGGTCATTTTGTGCTTTCCTGCACTCTGACATTATTTGCCTCCACGCATTCGTCTGTGCTCTGTCAGTGTGGGAGGACAGCATGAGCTCGGAGAACATTTCATCGCGAGTGCATTTTTTTTTTCTTTCTAAGCTTCACTAGCCTCTGGGAAGGAGAAGATCCTGTGATCATTGAAACACATGCAGCTGGTGGAGAAAAAAAAAGGGACAGCGGTATTTAAAAAGACACATTTTATAAAACAGTCGCTACACTCTTTCAGGGTAAACCTTGCTGTTAACATTACATACATAGCACATGTGCTTTCTTTACAAGGTCGCATTTTGCCTCCTCCCACCGCGTGAACGGATTTTGGTTGAATGCCAGCAAACATACACTGCAATGCTTTGTTCTACAGTGATTCCCGAGTACGTGTTACTGGCCTGGAGTGGTAAAGTGTCCTACCATGAAGGACGAAATAAGGCTGCCCTCCCCAGAAACCTTTTGCAAAGGCAGAACCGCAAATGCCAGGGCAAAGTAATCCTTTCACATGCTTGCTTTTAAACCATGTATAGCATTTTAAAAGGTACATTCACCAGAGGTCCCTTCTCCGCCTGCTGAGTCCAGGAGGCAGCCTTGGGTGGGTTCGGGGGGTACTGGCTCCAGGTCTAGGGTGAGAAACAGTTCCTGGCTGTCGGGAAAACCGGTTTCTCCGCTTGCTTGCTGTGAGCTATCTACAACCTCATCATCATCATCTTCTTCGTCCCCAAAACCTACTTCCGTATTGCCTCCATCTCCATTGAAGGAGTCAAACAACACGGCTGGGGTAGTGGTGGCTGAACCCCCTAAAATGGCATGCAGCTCATCATAGAAGCGGCATGTTTGGGGCTCTGACCCAGAGCGGCTGTTCGCCTCTCTGGTTTTCTGGTAGGCTTGCCTCAGCTCCTTCAGTTTCATGCGGCACTGCTTCGGGTCCCTGTTATGGCCTCTGTCCTTCATGCCCTGGGAGATTTTCAGAAAGGTTTTGGCATTTCGAAAACTGGAACGGAGTTCTGATAGCACGGATTCCTCTCCCCAAACAGCGATCAGATCCCGTACCTCCCGTTCGGTCCATGCTGGAGCTCTTTTGCGATTCTGGGACTCCATCATGGTCACCTGTGCTGATGAGCTCTGCATGGTCACCTGCAGCTTGCCACGCTGGCCAAACAGGAAATGAGATTCAAAAGTTCGCGGTTCTTTTCCTGTCTACCTGGCCAGTGCATCTGAGTTGAGAGCGCTGTCCAGAGCGGTCAGAATGGAGCACTCTGGGATAGCTCCCGGAGGCCAATACCATCGAATTGTGTCCACAGTACCCCAAATTCGAGCCGGCAACGTCGATTTAAGCGCTAATCCACTTGTCAGGGGTGGAGTAAGGAAATCGATTTTAAGAGCCCTTTAAGTCGAAAAAAGGGCTTCATTGTGTGGACGGGTGCAGGTTTAAATCGATTTAACGCTGCTAAATTCGACCTAAAGTCCTAGTGTAGACCAGGGCTTATACTGTCTTCTTTCACCTCCCACCAGGAGGAGGGGACAAAAGAAGATGAGTAGGAGTGGCTCTTTTGGTGTGGCATAACCATCAGCAATGGGAGCCTGCATGGAGTGGGGCCAAACCTTAAAGCTCCCCTCACCTTGTGGAACAGAGTAGACACACCCCTGTACCTGTGGAAGTGGAAGCTGGATTTGAGCCATAGTGCCTGAAGTCTAAACTGTTAATTAAATATAATAACACCTTGTACTTTTATAGGATCTTTAATAACAACAGCAAAAGATGTAAATTGATACCACTCTCTGGGTCTCCCTTTGCACTTGTCTTATCTTTCTTTGTGTTTCATCTGGGTGTTAGTGGGTTCCCATCATTACAACAGACACCTCACAGACAGTAATGAATTTATTTTCACACAATATCTGCAAGGTCAGTAAGTGCTGTTCATCCCATTTTACAGATAGGAAATGGAGGGGAAGGGTATGTTTACAATGCAATCGAAGGTGTGATTTGCAGCTCAGGTAGACTTGCATGCATTAGCTTTAATCTAGCTAGCATGCTTAAAATAGCAGTAAAGATACAGAAACAACGAGGAGTCCTTGTGGCGCCTTAGAGACTAACCAATTTATTTGGGCATAAGCTTTTGTGGGCTAAAGATACAGTGGCACAGACTAGCAAACCAAGTACATACCAGGGTCCCAGGGCACAGGACAGAGTGGCCCTTTGCTGCTCGAGGTGGAAAGCGTGTCTGGTGTCTCCCACAGTGGTTGAGCAACTAATCCACAACAAGAAAGAGCCCAAGGGCACCGCCGGCAGTTGGTGCCCAGGGAGACTGCCCTGCTCGCCCACCCCCGAGAACAAGCCCTGCCTGGGTCAGTTTGTACATGCTGTGCTGCTCTCTTCATTGCTGTTTTTAGCAGGCTAGCTAGCTTACAGAGAGCGCGGGTACATGCCTATTCACGCTGCAATCACTCTTTCCATTGCAGTGAAGAAGAAACAGCAATCATTCAGATGTACCCGTTCTAATGCAAATAGCATGTCTTTAAGCTTCCAACTAAGCAGCTTTAAAAATGTCACTGAAACCTTCAAGCTGCACAACACAGATGAAGAATTGACTAGAAATTGACATACTGCACTGTGCTTACTTTCCTTGAGAAGGCAGATAAAAATAGCATGGGGAATAATGGTGATGTCAATCAAAGAGAGGGTGAGTCTGAAAATTTTGCATATACTCCCACCTGGAGTGAGTCAGAGATGGAGCTGAGAGTCTGAGAAACCCAGAGCAAGCAAACTCTCTTTCAAAAACTAAGTTGCACTGTTAACTCACAAAGCTTACAGAAACTGAATTAAAACCCACAGAAAAATGAGCAGGGAAGAGAAAAAGTACAAACAGAGAGCTGACTCTTGAATTTCTTATTCAGTCTGATTAGTTTGGTGGTAGACACCCTAGATTTCCTCCGAAGGGACTTCACAAATAAAATACTATGCAGCAAAAACCAAGGGCCAGATCCTTAGCTGGTATGAATCAACCCTAAGAGGCTGTACCCCTAAGAGTCTGATCCCACTCCCAGGGCCAAATCCAGGGGGGACTTAGACTTCGCATCATGACATCTAATTTTAGACACCCTGCAACTCAGTGGAATCCACAGCCCTGAGTTAGGTGTCCCAATTCACTGAAGCCAGCACGCTGAGCAGAGAACCACCCAAGTGAGCCATTTGGAAATGCCAAATTGGAGCAGAACCTTGAATACGGATCTCCTAGGGGAGCACCCTGACCGGCTGGCTAAAGTGTTATTCTCCCTTTCTCTCTAGCCCAATGAATGTTTAAGTATTTTATACAAGGTGGACAGTTTCAACAGGAGAGACACAGACACCCACACCACAACACACTATACTGCAGTGATTAGGGCAGTTAAACCCACCTCAAGGGTAAAGTCCTTGCTCCAGAATCACTCGGCATGGGGATTTGAACCTTGGCCTCCCACAGCCTTTGTGAGTGTTCTAAGCATTGGGCTCTAGGGTATTGGAGGTGGGGTGAAGAGGTTCCATCTCCTCCTTTGGCTGGGTTTGCGCAAGGTCTGATCCAGTGGCAATGATCTAATATGACCTCTGAGCATGCTTATTGGATCTGGCCCTGCAGGCAGGACAGTTGTGGGAATACCTAATTTGAGAAACCTGTCAGGGCTTAGATACTTTGAAGCTCAGCAGCATCAGGACGGAAGTGGCTGTGTGCATGCACACTGGCACAAATTTAAGTACCTAGGAGATGTTACTGGTGGAAACTTAGGAGTCTAGGGAATTTAGGCACCTACAGTGTTAGGTAGCAGTTGAGCAGTGGTTTTGAGAATCTACATTTTTGGATTTAGATGCCTAATGTGACAGTTAGACATCTAAATCCCTTTGTGGATCTAATCCCCAGTGTTTTAAGAAGAGGATGCTAAGCACCTCCCAAAAGAAACTCCACCCCTTGCAGTACCAGATCCCGGAGACAGACAGACAGACACATAGTTATCACTTTACCTATCCTTGAATTAGTCTGAGAACAAATGCAGCAGCTGTTTAATAGAGCATGGCACCATTACACAAACAGTTCAAGACAGGAAGTGAAGCAGAATTCTATAGCTGATTGAAGCTGCAGAGGGAGTTTAGGGGGAAAGAAAGTAAATAACTGATCTGGAAATTGACCAGAAGAAGAATGAAAATGATTGTCAGGAGTTCATGTCACTAAGTGTGTTAAACAAAACAGATTTTTGAGGTTTAAAAAAAAAGCAAATATTTTTACGTGGTGCATTTTGAAGCCTGATATAAAACCCTGTGTTATTTGTGTTAATTTTGTAGCTATAGCTATCATGAGTTGTTGTAAATTGATGCAGCTCCACTGAAGTCAATGGAATTATGCTGATTTATACTGAGTGAAGATCTGGGCCATTGTGTATATGCTTGAGCCAGGTAAAGATGTTTGTGCTTTTAAATTTCAGGACATCATTTTTTGTTTTCAAGCTTGGACAAATTTATTTGCCAGACTTTAAATATAGTATCTGGCAAAACATCTCAGGGTATTTTTAATCAATAGTTCATTTAGGTCCTGCCCCAGCACCCACTGAAGTCAATGGGAGACTTTCCATTCACTTTAATGAGCTTTGGATCACACTCATTAGCATTATTAGGTTGATTAAACTTTGTCACTGTAAACTTATGTTACTAAGTCAGACAGGGCAGGTATGTGAATTAGATGTAGCCCATTGGGAGTTCCAAACAATAGCTTAAAGAAAAGGAGTACTTGTGGCACCTTAGAGACTAACCAATTTATTTGAGCATGAGCTTTCGTGAGCTACAGCTCAGCTCACGAAAGCTCATGCTCAAATAAATTGGTTAGTCTCTAAGGTGCCACAAGTACTCCTTTTCTTTTTGCGAATACAGACTAACACGGCTGTTACTCTGAAACCAAACAATAGCTTGTGTCATAATAACTTTTGCAAGAAGATTAAAGAGCATTTTCTTGAGAATATTCCTGCTATTTTTTCAATTTCTGTCCCAAATCTGGCTTTTCCCACAGACTCTTATTTTATGTCTCTCTTTTATACCATACAAAATGCATAATGCTATCAGTGATTTGGGATAAAAAAATAGAGTTCAATCTCTTTTCCTTCTTATAACAGACACTTCTTTATAACATGGTATATCACAGTAATTTTGTGCTTGAACTACTGTGATTGAAAACTTGTGTTTGAAATATTAGTTACTGGTATGTTTTTCACTTTCTTTCCCAACACCAAGATTATAGGAAAGTGGTGAAATACTAATGAGAATCATGTCACAGCTTGGCAGGTAATTGTGTATAGATCATTATTACTGATCAAACAACGGACAATTTTATCCAACAAGTTCAGCTGTTCCAGTAACAAACCTGTACATCACTAACCAGTTTGTGCCTTCTGGTTTGAAGTTTAAAAAGTTACTAAGTGGATTTTTTTTTCTTTTCTACTAAATGTTCCTCACCTTTCTCCTAGATTTCTTTGATGTTTCATTCTTGCACAATTATTAAGTAAAAAAGATGAAAAGCGGTTTTCAAAAAAAGTTCATTTCTCGTTGCCACTCCTTTCCTATTTTCTAACTTAAAATCCAGCTAAACCTAGGTATTATCTTTTGGATAGGAACATCTGAACTGAAAATATCATTGTCTCCAATGGTTACTCAGAAAAACAAATATTTCAGTGCACATGGACACGCACCGTAATAATTAGCGCTTTTAATGGCTGCAAGTACTCACTTGTACTGATGGACCTATTCTGACACTGTTCATGTACAACAGACAATTAGACACACAAATGAAGGCCTGAGAAAAGAAAAAAGAAAAGAAAAAAAGTAATTTAGCTTCTGGGATCCATGTTCAATTTAATCAGCAAATTCTTCTCATGCCAAGATTTAGAATTATGGAATTATCATATCTTTTCCCCAGGAATATTATATACCATAATGAACATTGTGTTGGACCCAGGGCTAACAAACAATCTATGGTAAAAGGGTAATATGAACGTTATTAACTGGTGATACCAGAATAGCATTGCTGCATTAGTGGGTGCTATACATCTCTTGCTTAATTAGAGGTATTGGTAGAGAGTGGGAATTTTGTTTTGGCTGAGAGGTGTCTTCTGAAATGTGCTACACTCTCACAGCACAAGAAAGAATTTCCTGTAGTGTTGTACTCAAATGTAATGCTACTGTATGGCCACTCATGGGACGACCTCAGTCCACTTAATGAGCCATGTTAGGGGACAGAACTTGTGTTTATTCTAATAGACTATGCAGTTCATCCTGGGGATAAAAAATGCTTTTACAGATCTGAATATTAAAAATTGATCTTTGTGCAGTTAAACTGATATTTT